TTGCTGCATTAAATATTTCTTGAGTCACTCAGGCTTATTGTACAAAATAACAAGTCCTCCTGCCCCTTCTTCTTCCCAGGTGGTAATCTGTAATAATAGTTTGGTGTGTATGTAAACAGGCTTTCCTGTAGCATTGTTCTCCAAGGTTAAAGCTCTCTTTGTGATAAACAGTTCTTTTAGAGTCAGGCCAGAACTAACTAGCCTTTCACTTACTTACTAAAATAGTGAATTTCTATTGGTAGATGGGAAACAGCTTTTTTTCCCCCCTTGAAGCCAGAAAGGCAGGCATTAAGAAGTGAGAGCATTCTAATTTCGTTTTCTGGGAAATTGAAACCTAAAAGACAGGAGCACATCTAGCTTAGTTTTCCGAGACATCAAAACTTAAAAAAAAAAGGCAGGGGGGCCAGCCAGGTGGTGTGTGGTTACGTTTGCACGCTGTGCTTCAGTGGTCCCGGGTTCATTGGTTTGGATCCCAGGCAGGGACCTACACACCGCTTGTCCCGCCATGCTGTGGCAGGCGTCCCACATATAAAGTAGAGGCAGTTGGGCGTGGATATTAGCTCAGGGCCAATCTTCCTCACCAAAAAAAAAGGGACGTTCTAATTTCTTTTTTCAGAGGAATCAAAACTTGGCATTCCTCCTGGGCTTGCTTTTGTCCAGGGGGCTCAGAATTAAAAGCCATTTCTTCTCTCTGAAGGTTACCACAGCCCTCATCAAGCTGCAGACTCCTGAATGTATCAGGACTCCAGGAGTTTTCTCTTTAACGCCCCAACCCTGAGGAACCTTCTCATTCCCAAGACAAGTACAGACTTCCTGGAGAGACCCAAAGCCATTCCTGTTTAACAGACAGGATGGTCTCAAAAAAAGATCACAGAACTCTAAGACAAAAATCCACTCTGTGGCTGCAGACCCTTCCAGATATATGCACTTTAGGCAAGAGAAGCTGAGGTGGACATGTTAGGGCCGCTCTGTTCTTAAGTAGGAGAAACAGACAGCAAGGAGAACTGGCCCTTAGAGGGGACTCACCTTCTAGCTGAGGCCAAGGGTCCAGGATGCAGGATTCCAGCCCAGACAACCCGGCAGAGGTCTGAGACAGACAGTGGTGGTGAGGGTTATAGGGTGGACCGATCAAAGATCTGTGGAACACACTTTCAGCCAGGCAGGGAGGAGCTAAAGCCTTGGCGGGAGGGGATGACAGTTAGGATTGTCAGTTACCCAGTTGGTTGGTCTCTATGAAAAGGGTTTTCTTGCTTTTCATAATGTATACACTTTCATTTTCAGGAGAAACTTAAGATATATTGACTGAGAAGCTCTGACCTAGTTAGATTTTCCAGGTTACTTTTGGCAACTGTGTCAAAAATACATTTGGCTATTTTGTTTACCAATATTAATTAAAAGCACTGGAAAAGTGAACTTGCCCAACTTTCATAGTTGCTTCAAATCCTTTTGGAGAGGGGTTACAATCAACAGGTGGATAGCTGAGAAATATTTGCCATTCTATAACAGGAAAAGAATCATCTGTAAGAACAGATATTTATTTTACTGGACACAGGCAGCACCTACACATATTCTGGATATTTTCGCTAGACATCAGTTGGCATACTCATTTTTACATGAGTATGTTGTTATTACATCAGCCATAAATGTAAGATGAATTTTTAGACCCAAATTAAGTGAACTATTTCAGTATGTGTGTGAACAACAAACCATTGGAGACCGTGATTACCCCCAGGACCCACACTGAAGTGGGGGAAAGAAAATAAATCAGAGAAGGTCATCTAATCCTGCTTCTAATCCTGAGCAGGCCATAACTTCTCTGGCTTGAGTTTTCTGCGAAAAACAAAATAGCCTAATGCTTGGGGACAGTCAGAGCCAGGTCTGAGGACGTGGGTCTCCTCGGTCCAGCGTCTGTGGTTAGTTTCTTCCTGGACTGTCATTTTCGGTTAGTTTCTTCCTGGAGTACCGGGGACTCATAACCCGACTTCCCTATTCCATTCTTCCCCTTGGGCCCACAAGCAAAGGCTCTGCTCCTCTCACCGCCCCCCCCCCGGCCACCCCTGACACCACCATTTCCAAACCAGCACACACTCTCTCACACAAACACACACGCTCTGGCGCCTGCACCCCCAACCACTCCTCTGGCCCCGCTGCTGGGGTGCGGCTGCGCTAGGACCCTGTCCTGCAGGAGCCTCCCTGGCCAGCAGCGGGGCCAGAGCGTCGCTGTCGTCGGACGCCGCAATGGAAGCCGCTCAGTTTGCGGTGGGAGGGCGCGCCCAGAGCTCTGGGGGAGCCGGGGAGCTGCTGGAGGAGCTGAAGAGGAGGAGGTGCAGGGCGACAGGGCGGGCGGGAGTGCGCCTGCGTGAGGGGTTAGGGAGGCGGAGGGGAGAGATGTGTGTGGTATGTATGTGTTTTTTAAAATTGTCTTGTTGAGGTCACACTGGCTTATAACATTGTGTAAATTTCAGGTGCACATTATTATATTTAAGCTTCTGTGTAGACTGCATCGTGTTCACCACCAAAAGTCTAGTTGCCGTCCATCACCATACACGGGAGCCCCTTTACCGCTTTTGCCCTCTCCCCATCTCCTTCCCCTTTGGTAACTACCAATCTATTCTCCTTATCTGTGTGTTTGTTTATCTTCCACATATGAGTGAAATTGTACAGTATTTGTCTTTCTCTGTCTGACTTGTTTCCCTTAGCATAATACCCTCAAGATATGTGTGTTTTGCGATTGATGTTACCTCAAGGCTTTCTCAAATTAAAATACATTCCTGTTACTATTCTTAAATAATGTTTCTCTAGAAGAGTTTGTAAATATTATCAAATTTTTGTACTTATTGAGATAGTTTTGACTTTCTATTAGTTGTTCATGTGATGTTGTATATTAATGTTTTTTCTTGTTTTCTGCAATTATGTATTCTGGGATGAATCCAGTTTGGGTTATAATATCCAGTGTGTGTAATAATAGCAATCATAATAAACAAGCAAAAGGCAAAACAAATAAAATTCTTAATCTGGTTAATTAATCAAATAAATTGCTTTTTAATTTTCCAAGTTTCTTCTGCCTTTACATTTATTATTCCTATTATTTTGTGTTCCTTTGTGATCTAGTTCTTTTTCTAAATTCTTTAAATTTTGATGCAAATCATTTTGTTTTATCTTTCTCTCCTACTAATTTAGGCATTTAGGGCTATGGATTCTTCTCCACATACTGTTTAAGCCGTATCATGGTAACTTGATGTAACCTAAACCATAAATCTCCAGCAGGTGGATTCTGTGTCTCTCACAGCACTTCGTGTGCCCACAATGAACGCTCATTGAATGTTTTGTGCACTAAAAAAATCAAAGACTGAAATGTTTGGATGGCTATATAATTAAGCAAAAGAGAGAAATGACTACAGCTGGCAGCACAATCCTGAGTCTTTAGAGCCCTCTCCTCACCATGCTACTGTTGAATTTTATTGATTTGCACAAACACTCCCAAATACAAGTTCTTTGACATCATAAAGACTTAGAGTCCGTTGATCCTTCTTTTTCCCCATTTATCAAATCTACCCCCTGTCCTGGCCACCTTCATTTCCCACCCTAACCACCTAAGAATGCATAGTCCAAAAGTTCAACCACTTTCTTACTAATGATCTAAATTCATATGCCCTAATCTATTTTTAAATTTTTTGGAGGTAAAAGTTTTGTTTTTTATGTTTTGAATAATTTCAAACTTATAGAAAAATATAGAGAATAATAGAGTGAACACAAATATGTCCACCACCCAAATTTAATAGATGAAGTCAGTTTAAAAACTTCTTGTTGTGGAAACTTTTCGAATATGCACAAAAGTGGAGAAAAAGAGAGGATAGGATAGTGAATCCCCATTTATCAATCACCCACCTTCAATAATCATTGATCTTTTTGCCAATAAGTGGTACTGCTAACTACCCAGTTGCCTAAGCCAAAAATCCAGCTACTAAATTTTAATCCTTTTAATCCTGATTTCTGTCTGGTCAATACAGAGCTGTATTAATTTTATTTCCTCAATATCTTTCAGATATACTCAATTCTCTTCATCTCCACTGCAGTACTGTGCCCCAGGCCACCATCGTCTCTCACTTAGATTACTGCAAAACCCTCCTTACTGGTTTGCTCCTCCTTAGTTAGTTCTCCACCCTGAATTAATACTGTGTCACCTGCTCTTAAAAAATTATCATACAATAGAATTAACTTTTTTGTGTGCAGTTCTATGAGTTTTAACACATGAATAGATTCCTATAATTACCACCACAATCAGGATACAGAACAGTTTCATCACCCCCAAAAAACTCCTTTATGTTACCCTTTTGTAGTCATGCCCTCCCCTCCCCGTAACTCTTGGCAACCGTGGATCTGTTCTTTATCAGTAATGTGTCTTTTTAAAATGTCTATCTGTTCATGTCACTACCTTCCTTAAAATTCTTTGGCTTTCCACTGTGTAAGTAGTGGCTCTTTTCTAACTCTGTAGTCTAGTCTTCTCTTTCACCACTTCTCTCCTCACCTCCCATTCCCTATCCCTCTTAAGGTCTGGCCAGACTGTACATCTCTCTACCAGTCCAATACACTATTCCCTTTGCTGATTTCAGGCCTTCTCAAGTACTGTTCACTCTGATTGTAATGCAATAACTCCTCTTAACCTCAGATTCCTTCACTTGGCTAATTCAGATCTTAGTTTAAATGTCCTTTCCTCCAGGAAGTCTTCCCTATTCATATCAGGTTGATTGTTGCTGTTTGGTGCTTCCCCTTTCAGGATCCGTATCACACCAATTGCTTTATTCAACCATATTTCTTCCCAGACTATAAGCTTTGAGAGGCAGGGCTATACTCATTCTTCATTTACCACTTAATCTCCAGCCCCTAGTACTTAGCGGGAACTCAATAAATATTTTCTAATAAATTAATGAATGCATTTTTGTGTACTATGCAATCTATTTCTTCATCAACATGAATACATGTTTTAATGGTTTCAGTTGCAGAATGAACATGGAGAAACATAATTCATCTTTGGTGGTAGAATTACTTTACCCAGACTTGGTCATCAATGTAGGAGAAGTGACTCTTGGTGAAGGAAACAGAAATAAGCTGCAGAAAAGTCAGAGAGAGCAAGAGAAGGTGAAAGTTATACAGGCTGCATGTGCTTTATTGAACTCAGGAGGAGGAGTGATTCGGCTGGAAATGGCAAACAAGGATGAGCGTCCCATGGAGATGGGACTGGATTTAGAACAGTCTCTGAGGGCGCTTATTCAATCTTCAGATTTGCAGACTTTCTTCGAGACTAAGCAACAAAGGAGGTGTTTTTACATTTTCGTTAAATCTTGGAGCAGTGACCTTTTCCCTGAAGACAGTTCCGTTAGGCCTCGCATTTGCAGCCTGGAGACTTCATTATACTGCAGATCTGGCACCTCAGTGCTTCTCATGGACTCAAGAGAGGCATTCAGTTTCCTGAAAACCAAGAAAAGAGATGCAAAAATCTTGGGGAAAGAACCTTCTGGTAAAGTTCTCAAGGTTAGACATCAAAACTCCTACAACTCGAATCCTGCTGACCCAATTTTCCAAAAAGACCAGCTTGAATATGGTGAAATCCTGCCTTTTCCTGAGTCTCAATTCATAGAGTTTAAACAGTTCTCTACAAAACACATTCAACAACGTGTAAAAGACATAATTTCAGTGTATATCCCTGCATTTGCGAACACTGGGGGAGGCTATCTTTTTATTGGAGTGGATGATAAGAGTAAGAAAGTTCTGGGATGTGCTAAAGAAAATGTTGACCGTGACTCTTTGACAGAGAAAATTGAAAAAGCAATATACGAGTTACCTTGTGTCCACTTTTGCCAATCCCAATGCCAGGTAAATTTCAAAGTCAGAATCTTGGATGTGCTAGCCAGGGGAGAGCTATATGGCTATGCTTGTGTGATCAGAGTGAAGCCATTCTGTTGTGCAGTGTTCTCAGAAACTCCCAGTTCATGGATGGTGAAGGGTAAGAACGTCTGCAGCCTGACAACTAAGGAATGGGTAGACATGATGATGGACTCGGATCCAGGTAAGAGGCAGAAAACTCCCTCCCTGTCCTTTCCAGCTCTTTGACACCTCCATAGTAAACAGATTTTCCTTTGTTTCCCATGACTTTGAACTTCTCACACTCACTGAACTCTGTTTTTTTTTTTAATCTCTTAGCATCCTACTCTCCGTGTATTAGAATTTGATGGGTGATTAGGAGCCCAAATCAAGTGTCTTATAATAGGCAATTTTCTACATCAGAAGATGAAAAGAAAATTGTTTGAAATGGTTGCCTTGCAGTGGTGTACTGGAACTGGCTCTTCCAGGCTCCAGAGCCATTTATTAAATTTTCAGGAATTGTGTGAGCCAGTTGTTAAACACAGTCATTGTTAAAAATTAAGTTATATAAACTTACAATTAAACAAATTATATTAAAAACAAATGTAATAAATACAAACTCACCACTTCCTAATTATTTACTACATTTTATTACTATCTATCCTTGTGAGGTTATTTATATCTATTGTATCTGTATGATGGAAATACTATAAAATGGTATGCTACTGTGCATTTCTTCCCAACTCTGCATTTAGTGACATCACATTGGTAGCTTGAAATTGTCCATGGTCAGAATATTTACACCACAGAAATAAGATGCATGCACAGGTATGTGTACTAAAAGAATGTGCTACATACCATAAAAGAAATACAAACAAAATGCTATCCAGACAGAGAGTGAAGAATTATATTGAATAGGAAACACGTTCAAACTTCCAAATAATTTCTCTTTAATGGTGGATTTTGGCAACCTTCATATGCAATAAAGACATCTGTCTACACGGGATGAATGGGGCATTATCTTGCCATTATCTCTGAAGTCACACCACCTAGACAGTTATATGATACACCCACTTGTAAGGCCTCTTTCGGTGATGAAGAGATGAACTAACATGTCAGAATAACGTGAGTTTTCTTTCTTTCTTAAGATCTTCAATGGTTGTGCAAAGACTTTGAATCTCAGCTGAGCCTGTCTAGTGGGCCTCCCCTTAGCAGACCAGTGTATGCCAAGAAAGGCCTGGAACATAAGAAGGATCTCCAGCAACTCTTATTTCCAGGTAGTAACTATGGTTTGCCTACTTGACACCAGCCAGTTTCTATGTTAGGATAAGGGGAGATAAACTGTTAAGTTTGTTTTTTAAAATCCTGAAAGTATGCTCTGTAAACCTTTGTGTACGAGGTGATAATGCTACAAGCATATTGGTGATAAATAGTTTAAAAATGAACCCTCATTGACCTCATCAGCTGAGGCAATACTACGTATAGAATCCAGGAACATTATTGCCCTTCAAGACCATTTGGTCTTGTACTTCTCAAATCGGACTGATCATCAGTATTTGTGAATATTTTAAAAAGTAAAGATAGGGCCGGCCCCGTGGCTTAGCGGTTAAGTGCGTGCGCTGCGATGCAGGCTGCCCGGGTTCGGATCCCGGGCGCACACAGACGCACTGCTTCTCCGGCCATGCTGAGGCCGCATCCCACATACAACAACTAGAAGAATGTGCAACTATGACTTACAACTATCGCTTGGGGCTTTAGGGGAAAAATAAATAAATTAAAAAAAAAAAAATTTAAAAAAAAAATAAAAAATAAAAAAAAAAAAAAAAAAATAAAAAGTAAAGATAGCTGTGTCCCCACTCCAGACTTAATAAATTAGAATATCTGGGGTTAGCACCTCACAATGCACATTTTTCTCAAGCTACTCACATGATTCTGATGCTAATCCAGTTTGGAAACTTTTTATGTAGTCGAAATAGAGGCACACACTGCACGAGGAGCAAAAAACTGCCCACCCCTGCCAGATTTTCCAGAGGAGTGGTGGTTATGAATATGAAAAAAGAGTAAAGATTTATGTCAGGATGTAACACAAAACAAATAAAATAAAACGAAGATCAGTTTTGAACATTTCTGAATATGTTTTGGTTTAGAAGAAACAGTTGTGTAACAGCACAGAATCATGATTCAGCGCCAAGGACAGTGCCTGTTTTCTGTGCTCATCCCTCGCTCCCTGCATTAGGCTTTACCTAGGAGTCCATTGCTGTCCTCTTTCTAGACTCCTAGAGAGGGAAAACCATTTGCTCAAGTCTATGCAGCAAGTCAATGGCTTATCTGACACTAGAATTTGATACATAAATGTCCTATATATGTGTAAGTGTCTATCAAGGACCATTAAGTTAATGGATAATGACTGCCCAATTTAAGATTTCACTTTTTTCCTTAACTAATTGAGGTCTTTGCATTCATTTGCATATCAAATTTATATTTCAAAAACTGTCTACAATAAACAGTATTAAATCCTAAGGTAAACATAAGCATTGATAGTTATTTTCTGAACTCAGTAAGCTCCATTTTAGTTGAGCTTATTACCTTGGAATAAATTATAACTTAAACAAAATACTGGGCTGTATGCTCAGAACGACAATCTATTATTCTTCTATAAAAAAGCAATTTTCGGGGGCCAGCCCATGGCATAGTGGTTAAGTGCACACTCTCCGCTGCTGACAGCCCGGGTTTGGATCCGGGGCGCGCAAAACGCACCGCTTGTCAGGCCATGCTGTGGCAGCATCACATATAAAGTGGAGGAAGGTGGGCACCGATGTTAGCTCAGGGCCAATCTTCCTCAGCAAAAAGAGGAGGATTGGCATGGTTGTTAGCTCAGGGCTGATCTTCCTCACAAAATAAATAAATAAAAAAATCAATTTTCCAGGAACTGCACCAAACATTTGAGGAATAGATACTTCCAACATTATTTAAATTGTTCCAGAGCCATAGAAAAAGAATGAAAATTACCAAGTTAGTTTTTAAGTGAGAGTAACTGTAATTGCAAAACTTGAAAGCGATAGCACAAAAAAAAGGAAAACTCAGGGCCGGCCCCACGGCTTAGCGGTTAAGTGCGTGCGGCCTGGGTTTGGATCCCAGGCGTGCACCGACGCACCGCTTCTCTGGCCATGCTGAGGCTGCGTCCCACATACAGCAACTAGAAGAATGTGCAACTATGACATACAACTATCTACTGGGACTTTGGGGGAAAAAAAAAAGAAAACTCAGGGTAATCTTATTTATGAATGTGGATGCAAAGACAAGAACTCCAGGAATGACTGGATGGATCAACATTAAGAGAGGTAGTGTTATAATTCATCATTTCTACATATCTATGCCAAAAAATTATGTAATTGTCTTCTAATACACTGAAAAGGCACTTGAAAAAACTTAATACACATTCTTGATTTTTAAAAAACTTTCAGAACAATAGGAACCTGTAGATATTTCTTTAATGTTATATCATATCTATATATCTATATCTATGTATATCCCCCAAAGACTATCGTGTTAATTTGGAGATATTAGAGGCATTCTATTAAATTCAGGAACAAAACAATCATGTTCACTATTACAACTTCTGTGTAATATTAGTTAGCCAATGCAATTAGATAACAGAAAGAAATAAAAATTAAAGGAGATAGCACTATACATCTGGAAAACTCAAGAGAATCAGTGAAAAACTACTATAAACAAAAGAATCCAGAATGAATAGAAATAATCACATTACATAGCATTATGAGAAGTATATGTGAAAATTAATATGCAGAATTCAATATCCTAATATAACAAACAATGAAAGAAAATACCCAATTTTCAATAGCAACAAAAAGTTAAAATATCTAGGATAAACCAATCTGAGAAAAAAGTTAAAACAATTTAACTTTGAATACCTTTGATGAACACCTGAATCAAATGGAAACATGTCATGTTCTTGAAATGAAGAGTCAACATCATAAGGTTGTCAATTCTATGTTATTTTATAAACTTAATGAGATATTAGTTAAAAAAAACCGGAGAGTAACTTAATCTAGACAATCTTATTCTAAAGTTCCAGTGGAAAAATAAACATGGAGGAAAAGCCAGGAAATAAAAACTAAAAAAGAAGAGCAACACGAGGGGCCATCTAGATATTAAATCATTATAAAGCCTCAAATGAAAGTAGAGTTTATTGGCACATAATTAGACCAAGGGCACAGAATAGAAGGTCTGGAAATAGATGCAAACACAATGGAGAATTTAGTTTATGATGGAATTGACCTCTCAAGTAAGTAGAGAAAAAATGGATGTTTCAATAAAAAGATATTGGGATAACTGGGTGGCAATTTATTTTTAAAAAGACGGAGTCATACTTCATGCCATAGACCAACATAACCTCTAAATGGATCAAAATTTTAAAACTAAAAAAATTAAAGCCATAAGTGTTCTAGAAGAAAACTAGAGGTTAAATGGTTAAATGCCTTTACAATTTTGGCATGAGGATTAGAAAAATCAAGATTCAAAATCTTGAGGCCATGAAAGTAACAACTGATATATATGAGTGCATAAAAAAAATGAGCACTGTGTATGGTTAAAGCCACAAAGAACAAAGTCAAAGGGCCATTGACCAACTGGGGAAAATATTTGCAACTCATATCACAAACAAAGGGCTAGGCCATGCTGAGGCTGCGTCCCACATACTGCAACTAGAAGGCTGTGCAACTATGACATACAACTATCTACTGGGGCTTTGGGGGGGAAAAAAAATTTTTTTAAAAATAAAAAACAAACAAACAAACAAAGGGCTAATGTCTCTAATATATAAAGAGATTCCAGAAATTGATAAGGACAAAAAGCAACTTACAAAAATCAACAAAGAGAGTTCAGAGAAAATAAAATTCAAATGGCTTTCAAACATTTGAAAAGATGCTTAACATTAATCAAAACAAAAGACAAGCAAATTAAATGAGATATCATTCCTATCTATTGGATTGTAAAAAATAAAGAAATCTGACATTATCTTTTATATTCTGTGCTGTAGGAAAACAAGACTTCTTATACATTACTTGTGGGATTGCATATTGGTACAGCTCCATTGGAGAACAATTTGGCAATATCCATCGGAATTACAAATGTATTTACCCTTTTACCTAGTAATCCCACTGCTGAGACTTTATTCTTTTTATAGACCTGCACACATACCAAATGTACAAGTACTCATTGCAATATTATCGTAATAGCAAAAGACTAGGGGGAAAAACCCAAGCACCTAATAATGGGAACTGATTAAATAAAATATGGCACATCCATAAAATGGCATGTTAGATAACTGTGGGGAGAAAAAACCAATAAGGAAGTTCTTTGTGTACTGATATGGAAAGATCTCTAATATATAATGCTAAGTGGAAAACAGTAAAATGTCGAACAGTTTGCTACCTATTGTGTACAAAAGAGGGAAATATTTGCTTGTATTTACATAAAGAAATTTTGGAAGAATAGGCAAGAAACAAAAAAGTATCTTTGGTAGGGGTATAGGTTGGGGTTAGGAAGGCAGGAAACAGAGCAAATTGGAGTAGGCACGTTTTGGTATTTGGACTATGGGAATATTTTACCTAATTAAAATTATTTTTCTTAAAGCCAATTTTGATTTTCAGATTCTGCTCTTATTATTAGATTGTGGACACTAACAGTGGTAAACAAAAAGTTTGGCTTTTGTTTTGCAATTGGACTCCAGATATTAAGAATGGGGATGTCCTCAGCAGGTTAATTATCAGCATTGATTGACAATAATTTGGCTTCAGGTTAAACACTGTCAATGTTTCACTTGGAAGAAATGTAATGACTGTCTGAAAAAGAAATTTTGTCTATGACTGGAGTTATTGCTACTAGAGAATGTCAGAGCCTGGGGTGTAGGTCAGACTCAACCAGGCCCCAATGATCTTCATCCTGGTGTCCCAAACCATTAGGAGCCCTCACCCAATTTCCTGTAGTTTGAAAACGACTGCTCTGGACACTCCAGTGCTCTGTTTCTAAAAATTTCACTAGATCCATGGTGAGATTAGTGGCCAGTATGGATACAAAGTTCTGTGGGAGTCCTGGACAGAAGGACAGACGTGGGAGTTCTGGGAAGAATGAGAGGAGTTTATCAGGTGACATAAGCGGAGGAGGGCATTAGGGTCTCAGATCACACCTATACAAAGGCACAGAGGCCCCAGGTCACATGGGGAGTGGTGACTATTCTGGTGCACGTGGAATGGTGGCATTTATTGAACACCAAGTCCGGCCCCTATAATTTGCTAAGTGTCATGTGCAATATCAAAGAAATGAAAAGGACACTTCTTGCCTTCACATAATTTCCTGAGGAAGCATGTCCCATTATATAATTAAAGAAATATAAGACCTCTTCAGTGATGAGGTAAAACAGGTTTGCTGTGAACATCAAGCGCTGTGGTGACTTTCTTCATTTATCAGGCAGGGGTAGTCTGTGTGGCTTGCAGGGCAGTGCAGTAGAGTGGAAACAACAGAGGGTCTGGTATCTGAGACCTGGGTTTGGATGCTGGCTCTGCCATTTCCTAGGGTGTGACCACGGGCAAGTCACTTGACCTGTTTGAGTTCTCATTCGCTCATAGGAAAAAGAGAATAATAAGTGTATTTGCCTTGCAGAATTGTGAGGATTGGAGATGTGTGTAAACTCCCTGGTATAGTCAACAGATGATGTGTTTTCTTATTTTATACTTCCTTTGCTTTCTAGAGCTCTATTTTAAGCATGTCTTTACATTACCCTATTTTGTCCATTCTAAGATGCGTGTTTTCCCCCATCTTTTAGCATCTCTAAAATCTGGATGTGTCTCGTAATAGATGCCGTTTCCTACTCACTATCACCCAGGTTGCAGGCATAATCAAGTTGTGTGGACACGTGGTACTAGTGAGGAAGCACAGCAACAATGGACAATAAACAATTACCAATGAAATACGGGTAATTTCACTTGAAATTACCGTTACAAATCTGGATTCTGGTTTGTGATCTGACACCACTAAAACAGGATGAAAACAGTGTCATCCTTTTTTTCCCTTTGGAAAAAATGATCATCAGAATAAGTTTAAAACCCTACAGTGCAATTTTATTCTCATGTCACATCATTGTTCCCTGCTCTCTCACTACAAAGGGAAGACTCTTGTGATGGATGGAATCTCACATTGATCTCTAAGGGCACAATTTCAGAGTTCTGCCTCAGGAGAGGTAGCTCGGGGGCTAACCTCAGGGTCTCCCAGTCCAGGACTGCAGGGAGTTCTCTGCTAACAAAAGGTTTCATGTGGCTGCGTCTTCTCTCCAAATATTTATCAGCGCCTTCTTCTTGGAGGGCTCCTTCTACCTCCATCGGCGGGGACTGTTCAGGGACATTTTGAGATTCAGATACTTTGAGAGATGAAGCGGAACAGAACAAACATTTCTCAAGCAGCTACAATGAGCCAGATACTTCATGTTATAACATTTATTCCTCATCATAGGAGGTGTATCTTTTTTGTTTGTTTTTTATTTCACAGATAAAGAAACAGAATCTTAGAGAGGTTAAGAAATCTTCAAAGATCATAAACATAATAAGCACATAGGTTTAGATGAAGTGTGCCAGATTTTTCAAGCCTTCTTTTCCTTTATTGTAATATAATAATATTTGCAAAAGAATATATAATGGTCTATAATTTATCATAATTAATAAAATTAATTATGATTAAGTATAGATGTAATAATTAATTGTGATTAATTATAATTAATAATAAAAATAAATGTGATTTTGCCCCCAATTTATAATTCTTTCCATGTCTAGTCCCCCCAGGACATCTGCAATACACTCCTGAATCCCTCTGGAAGGAGCTGTCCGCACAGCATGAAGGTCTGGAGGAATTAATAGAGAAGCAAATGCGTCCTTTCTCCCAGGGAATTTTGATCCTCTCTGGAAGCTGGGCTGTGGACCTGAACTTGCAAGAGAAGCAGGGAGTCATCTGCGATGCTCTACTGATAGCACAGAACAGCACCCCCATTCTCTGCACCATTCTCAGGGAGAAGGATGCAGATGGGCAGTGCTACTGCACCCGCACCGCCTTCACTGTGAAGCAGAAGCTGGTGAACATGGGCGGCTACACTGGGAAGCTGTGTGTCAGGACCAAGGTCCTCCACCTGAGTCCTGAGAGCCATGCGGAGTCCTTGGCGGGTTCCGGCTCCTCCATCGATTACCCCGGGTCCTATAACCTTGCAGACACCCAGCAAATGGAAGCCTTGCTGCAGTCCCTTGTGATTGTGCTGCTCAGCTTCAGATCTTTCTTGAGTGACCAGCTTGGCTGTGAGGTTTTAAATCTGCTCACAGCCCAACAGTATGAGATATTCTCAAAAAACCTCCGCAAGAACAGAGAATTGTTTATCCATGGCTTACCTGGCTCAGGGAAGACCATCATGGCCATGAAGATCACGGAGAAGATCAGGAATACGTTTCACTGTGAAGCAGATAAAATTCTCTACATTTGTGAGAACCAGCCTCTGAGGAACTTTATCAGGTAAGCAGTAGGATCTTATTGTCACTAAATGAGGTATAGTCTGAATTCACTCCACACCCCTTTCAACCCGAATTGCCTTGTTCCTTGATAGTTAATGGTAAATTGATCTGTGACAGCAGTACCGTGTTCAGAGGAACATGATAGAGTGATTTTCCTCCTTTATTTTCTTGGAGAAAACCTCAATGTATTCATTTTCATTTTTACAGTAATAAAAATATCTGCCAGGCAGTGACCCGGAAAACTTTCATGAAGCATAACTTGGAAAAGATTCAACACATCATCATCGAAGAAGCTCAGAATTTCCGCACTGAAGATGGGGAGTGGTATGAGAAGGCAAAAACCATCACTCAGAGACAAAAGAATAGCCCAGGAATTCTCTGGATCTTTCTGGACTACTTTCAGACCAGCCATGTGGTGCACAGCGGCCTTCCTCCTTTCTCAGCCCAGCTTTCAAAAGAAGAGCTCACCAGAGTGGTCCGCAATGCAGATCCAATAGCCAACTATGTACAAGAAGTAATGCAGGTAATCATAAAGAATCCTCCACTTAACATCCCCCATGAGTCTCTGGAGATACTTCTTGAAGCTGAATGGGCTCAGGGTGTTCAGGGAACCTTAAAAATTAAGAAAAACTTGACTCTGGAGCAAACAGTGACCTATGTGGCAGAAACTTGCAACCGTCTCTTTGAAAGGGGCTATTCTCCCAAGGATGTTGCTGTGCTTGTCAGCACCACGGAATACGTGGAGCGTTATAAGCATGAGCTCCTGAGAGCACTGAGGAAGAAAAGAGTGCAGCTCAGCGATGCGTGTGACATGTTGGGTGATCACATGGTGTTGGACAGTGTCCGGCGATTCTCAGGCCTGGAAAGGAATATCGTGTTTGGGATCCATCCACGGACACCTGAGTCAGCTATCTTACGCAACATTCTTGTCTGTCTGGCTTCCAGGGCAAAACAACGGCTATATATTCTGTGGCATGGTGACTGTTAGGAAGAATCCCAAACCAAAACGAGATGAGGCAATTGCTGTGTAAATGTCCATGGGTGAACATCTGCTTGGTGTGGGCAGAAACTTTCTTTTTGGTTCACAGATCCGCTGGAGATTTGGGCAGAATTGACACACAGAATTTGGAACTTCCCCTCTCTGGCTCTCTCCTTTCCCAATTCCTTCCTGGACTCCTTCCAGCCGCTATTGTTACTCCAAATTCTGATCCCTGATTCTTCCAGCCAGAATGGTGACGGTTTTCTATAGGAGCTTTAGCCACCCTGCACAGCACAGACTGTGACCTACCTCTGGTTAAAAGCCATAAAAACAAGAAACTTGTCCTGTGGCCCTCCTTTCTTCCAAGTCTTATCTCTCCTCAGTGACTTCATGCATTTTTTTGTTTTCTAACATTTGTCTAGAGATTATGGTTATCTGCAGAAGGGTAGTCTGGTAGGAACTAACTTGGTCTTACCCGTAGCAAGACTTGTTTTCTGAATTCTTGACATTTTCCTTTGCTAGGTTGATTCAGGACTTGGGAGATTCCCAAGATAATTCAGTCACTGACAGAGCAGGTCTTAATCATTTTGTCAGGACAGAGAGCACTCGTGTGATTATTTAATCATTTAAAATTGCAGTGTCCGATTTGTGTTCTCACATTGGCTCAGACCATGACTTCATTGTAACAGTAAGCATTAATTATCACTTTATAGAGAAATTATAAGCCAATAGAAAACACATATATACCTGTTTTCTCTGGCTTTTAGTAGGAGATAGTATTAGAGACCAAAATCTTGTTCTAAAGGTGTGTATCAGCCCTACATGAACAGTCCTAGGGAAGTTACAGTCCATGGAAATCAATGAGTTTATACCGCAACTTCTCAGCTCAGCTCTACTTATTCTTCTATAACATACCCACTTGAGTTTTAAATCAAGTACATTCTTGAACTGTAATTTTTTTCCCTTCACTGTCATAATTTGATGGGCCATTGTTATGGACTGAATGTTTGTGTCCCCTCAAAATTCATACATTGAAGCCCTAACCCCCGGTGTGGCTGTATTTGTAGATTTGTAAGGAAATAAGGTTGAATGAGGTCATAAGGGTGGGACCTTGATCCGATAGGATTAGAGTCCTTATAAGAAGAGACACCAGAGAGCTCTCTCCGTCCCTCTCTCTGTGCACACACAAACAAGAGTTCATGTGAGCACACAGAAATATGGCGGCCAACTATAAGCCAAGAGAGGAAATCTCAGAATGAGCTCAATCCTGCTGGCACCTTCAGTGTGGACTTCCAGCCTCTAGAACCGTGAGAAGTAAATTTGTGTTGTTTAACCCACCCAGTCTGCAGTATTTTGTTATGGCAGCCTGAGCCAGTTAATACAGCCACACAATTATTCTTCTAATTAAAAACACTGAGACTTAATAATGCTATCGCAGTTACTTATTTGTTTTTATTGTTCTGTCTATACAAAACATTTAAAAATAGTAATCTATATAATAATAAAATATTTGGATAACTAATGGAAACTTAAAATATGACATGGCTAACATTCCACTTATTAGGAATCTTATTCTACTAATTTCCCCCTCCCCCACCCCCATATTGTAAATTTTGAACTTCTCTGCCTTTCTTCTATCTGTGTTTACTCATGGAATTCCAGCCTTTTGCCTTGAAACTGCAACCTCTTCTAACTTCAGCAAAATAAGACATCAGCAAAATAAGGAGGAAGATGTTTCTTCTTTCCTTCTGACTGCATTAAATCAGATACAACTCAGCATCAAAAAGCTATCCTTGTAAATGTTGTTTCTAATAAATTAGTCTTGTAAGATCCCTGGACTTCAGAGCTGTTGCAATGTCTGTGAAAGTAATTCTTAAAAAGTCTAATTCTGACTGGTGGTGTCACTTAATGACTTATTTATTGCCCTAGTAATACAATTTTAAAATATCATATTTTAAAAAAATGTATAAATATTCATGAGTTCATGTTTAGTTAGAAGAGGATTCTTGATGCTGCCTTCTTTTTCCATACGAATGAGAAAAGCTTTACCTTGTATATCTATTGCATTTCTGTTTTAAATTAAAAATTAAGAGTTTTTGTCTCAAACTGAAAAAATGGTGCTGTAAAATAATTGATTACATTGGGGAAAAGGGGAGGACTGAGGCCAGTGCCCCCATCATGGGGCTAAATATGAGCCAGCAAAAGGTCAAGCAAGATTAACCTCCATTTGGGTTTTGCTGAGGTGCCTGCCTATCTCTGCCATCTGGCTCTAGCCATTTGGGACCTAATTTCACTAAAGATCTGAAAACTTGCCCAGCCAGTGTAAAATAAAACAACTTGTTTTTTAAAATAAATTTTGTTTTAGAATAGTTTTGGATTTACAGAAAAGTTACAAAAATAGTACAGAAAGTTCCCGTATGCCCCTCACTCAGTTCCTCCTATTGTTAGCATCGTATATTACTATGGTTCGTTTGTCACTACAAAGGAACCAACGTTAGTACACTGCTATCAAGTAAACTCCACATTTTATTTGGATTTCCCAGTTTTTACCTTTTCCTCTGTTCCATCAGGATGCCATCCAAGATGCCACATTATGTTTAGTAGTCATGTCTCCTTAGCCTCCTTTGGTCTGTGACAGTTTCTCAGACCTTGTTTTTGATGACCTTGACAGTTTTGAGGAGTGCTGGTCAGACATTTTATAGAATGCCCCTCAATTTGAGTTTCTCTGATGTTTTTCTCATAATTAGACTAGAGTTAAGGGTTTTTGAGAGGAAGACCACAGGGGTGAAGTGTCATTCTCATCACATCATATCAAGGGTACATGCTATCAACAGGACTTATCACTGATGATGTTAACCTTGATCACCTGACTCAGCCAGTGCCTGCCAGGTTTCTCCACTATCATCAAGTTACTTTTTCCCCCCTTCTATATCAGTAAGTGCAGCCCCTACTCAAAGGATGGCCATTGAAGCTCCGTCTCCTTGAGAACACAGTATCTACATAAAGTATTTGCAATTCTTCCGTACAGAAGACTTGTTTCTTCTCCTTCCTTTATTTATTTACTGGTTTACTCATTTATTTACTGATTCAGTCATTTATTTATATTTATGGACTCAAGGATATTTATTTAATATTTTGTGTTATCTTATAATACTACATTACTTAATTTGTTGCCCAAGTTCTTCTAGCATTAGCCATTGGGACTCTTTCGAGGTGACTCCTGTGTCCCTTTGCCCCTGTCCTTTTATTTTTTGAGCACTTCCTTACTCTCTGGCACCACGAGATGCTCCAGGCCCATCTTGTATCTTCTCTTCCTCAGCCCTAGAATCAGCCATTTCTCCAAGGAGCTCTGGTTCCTTTTGTTGGAGAATGGCATTAGAAACCAATATCTGGGCTCTAGGGGTGCTCGCTGCTATTTATTTGTTTGTTTTGTTAATGTTGACTCTTGTCTTGTGACTTTTTCCATATGTCACTGATTATGGCTGCACTGTCCAATTCGGCATATGTTAGCCCCATGTGGCAAATGAATACTTGCAATGTGGCTAGTCCAAATTGAGATGGGATGGAAAATTTTAAATTTTATATCAGCTTGCATTATATTTCTGTTGACAGCGCTAGTATAGGGATTGTTGAAATAGGAGTCTGCTCATTGCATTCTCAACAGAGTGGAACGGGAGGTGGATTTTGCCCTCCAGAGGACGTAATGTCTGAAGATATTTCTGGTTGTCACAACCTGGGGGCAGTGTGTTAATGGTACTCAGTGGGTAGAGGCCAGGGATAGTGCTAAATATCCTATAGTGTACAGGACAGCCCTCACAAGAAAGAATTTTCCAGCCCAAATTGTCAATAGTGTTGAGGTCAACAAACCCTGAACTAAAGGAAGAATGAATCTATCCCCCTTAAATAAGTATTTACAGGTTGGGAGGGTAGAATAGGTTAGGGTTTTAATCTGAGGGAATGTCTTGCTTTATGATAAGTGAGGCCTGATGGACTGAGTTTTCCTCTACTCTTAGTGAACTCGTAAACGGAATGAGGAATTCTGGAGGATTCCATGCCCCAATAGGGACTCTAACCTTTCTAATGCTGAAGTAATATAGTTGAAGAAGCTGTTTGGTCCTTGTGAAATAGTAGTGCCAAGGATAACTAAGGGAAGTAGTTTCTTGGATAAATAGCCTATCTTCAGAGTGTATTAGAAAATAAAGCCATGAATGTCTCTCAAATTCTTTGGTCCTATATTGATCAATTTCATATACTACGAAGTGCTCATATGAATCTTAGAATATATCAACAGTGTAAGAAATACTCTCCAGGCATGGAGAAAATAAGAAATATAAGCTCAGTGGTCACTCTATAGACATGACTCTCTGAAACTTGCACAAATACATTAAATACATTACAGAATTTAATCTTCAGAAGCCTGAATTTTATAATGTTTTGTACTCTAAAAAAATTATAATTGGAAACAAAATCTTTAGTTAAAGGTAAATGCTATGCTCATGATAGAATAAACACGAAAATTAATGTAGAAACAGAAATAAAGTTTAAATAATATTCCATTTTGCTGATATAAACCATTTCTCCTCTAAAGAGTTTTGAGTTGAGAAATAGGAACATCTGACTTCAGAAGTATGATCCCAGTGCTGATAAAGAAACAAGATAACCAAGTTAACAGGCCAGAAGTTAGTAGTAATTAAAGAACTTAAGAATCCCCTCTTTACTAAGACTTTTAATGAAGATTGAGATAGTTTTAATAGTGTTTGGTAAAATAAATACAAGAGAATTTAATGCTTCTAATTAGGGTATCTCCTTTGTTAAAATTGTTTTATGAACTCAAGCTATACAAAATGGCTGTATACCTTCTCCCTGATTTTCCGTGGTAAGACCTAAAGAAGCAAAGAAGGCATTTTCAAGACACTTGGATTGCTTTGGAACGTCCAAAATAACTACACTTGGCTGCTAGGTCAGATGACTGTATTACCCACACTAAAGAAATAAGATGGCGTATGAATAGAAAAAGGAGGGAGGAAGTGAGGCCAGGGAGAAATACACAGGAAGCTTCAGTAGCAGTAATGTTTCATTTTCTAAGGAGGGAAGTGGACACACGGGTGGTGGTATACCTTTTGTACGTCTGAAACATTTCATAATAAAAATGTAAGGAATCATTCTTAACCTCACCCCCCCAGGGATGACCACAGGTGATATCGCCCGATCTTTGCCCTGGTAACTGGATGTGTCCTCAGTTCCCTGTGCGGTCCCGTCTCCTGCGGTAACAGCTGCTCCTGGGGCGACCCCTAGGCATCTGCGGAGGGCGGGACCTCAGTATCCGCCTTGGTTTCCCAGCGGGGAATTTATTTATTTATTTATTTTGGAGAGAGGCTTCATTTTATTTCTTTTTTTTTTAAAATTTTTTGTTTATTGCAGTAACATTGGTTTATAACATTGTATAAATTTCAGGTGTACATCATTATACTTCTATTTCTGCATAGATTACATCATGTTCACCGCCCAAATACTAATTACAACCCATCACCACACACATGTGCCGAATTATCCCTTTCACCCTCCTCCCTCCCCCCTTCCCCTCTGGTAATCACCAATCCAATCTCTGTCTCTATGTGTTTTTTTATTGTTGTTATTATCTGCTACT